AAGTGTCACAGAGGATGTCACCGAGTAGGACTAGACGACCTACAAAAAAAAAGTGTCCAAATGAGTAATGTTGGCGGCAAATGAATCTACAGATTCGAGAAAAACTTTCAACTGTGACCACAAAAGTGTGGGAGCCTATTCTACAAAATTTAAAGATTCTGCTTCTGCTTCGTCTGCTTACTCATCAGATTTGCACTCAGGATTAAGGTCCTTTGACAGAATCCTATTCCCATTTCGAGATCAAAACCAAAACTGCCGTCAATCCAGTGGCAGAGTGTGGCAATTACAAGACAGAAATTGTCAATTGATTGCCACTTAACACGTGCGCTCACTTTAGGCCCGGTTATAGTCAAGGGAAAAGGGTAATAGACCACCAATAGTGGGTGGTGTTCCTGTCAACTGCCAATTGTCGATTGTCGATTGTCGATTGCCGAATGGCAGAACGGCAATTGGCCAAGCCGTTCTAAGCCGCAAAGGAAAAAAAAAGGCGGAAAACCCTTTTGTGGGATCGCCAGAGATTTCCGCACTTTTGTGGAGCATATTCAATCAGTTACCCAACTCTTGGATGCCATCAGTCTATAGACTAAGTGATACCCGGCATTTGAGTGAGGCTTTATCTGTTACATAAACCCCTTAAAGTACAATATACCCTTTGACCCTGGGAGTAGCAAATCAAAATCAGGGTACGTCACTGCCAGAAAAATCGAACTTATGTTAAGTGAGCTGAGCTGAGCTCGGCTAAGCTGAAAGTTCGCCCGATTTATCCCATGCAAAAGTCATTTGGCTCCAACCAGACGTGAAATTGTGTGTAGTGCATTAAGACGTACTGCCGAATCATAATATATATCTTCATCAAATATTGACAGATTGTAGTAGGTCCAACCTCCCTCCCCCTCCCCAGAAATCAATTGCCAGCCATTAGTCGGGCAAGTATGTTTTTTATGGAAGAGTGCGATTTTCTTGGCGATTCACCCATTAAAGACACCCCCACGCACAAATATGATTTTGTATGCAATTGACCAAAACCAAGGATGCCCGGGGCTAAAATTTAAGGAGGTCCTGGCCACTTATCCCATTTCCCCCAGCCCATACATCAAAATCTAAGAGCCATGAAGCAAAAACCACAAACGCAAACACCATAACTCAAGCTGGGTGCGGTTCGCAGATTTTCTGGGCCCCGGGGCTGTGTTACCAAAAAACGATTACCGGCTAAGGAATAAAATTAAAAAAAAAAATTGATGGGGAAAGATGGGAGAAAAATCTCCACCAAATAGGCTGACTCGTTGAAAATTCGATGACAATTAATTACAGTTACGCGCAAGGCGTGAAAATGGCCAAAAAAAAATAAAAATAAAAAACGAGCAGTCGAGCAGTCGAGCAGTCGAGGAAGAAGCAGTGGCAGGGATGGCATAAATAAGCGTCAGCAAATTATAAATTAATTCAAACGCATTTAATGAAGAAAAACACCAAGGAAAACAGAAGACAGACGGCGGCCAGAAGTGGAAAGCAAAGGAAAATGACTACACTGGTCGAAAATATGAGAGGTATTAGGGAGGAAAAAATGTGATTAATTTTGGTAATCACAGATAAAGTTTGGGGGAGTCATAGCTAGAAAAATATTCCAAATAGAGTACAATAAGTCTTTGTTGTTGGCTAAAAAATTATTTAAAAAATCGAATAATAAATTAAAAAAAAAATCTCTTAAAATAAATAGATATATTTATCTATTGATTTCTTCCTGTCTATACCCAAAAACAATGACCAAAAATAAGAGAGGCCCCCCAGAAGGACATGCCAAATGCAAATTCAGAGCAAACTAAACAACGGACCAAGGACCCACTGGCATGGAGCAAGGACCACGGACCAAGGATATTTTCTGGGGCAGTAAGGGGACACAGGACACAGAGCGCACAACTCAGTCAGACGTTTGAATTAAATAAATGAAATACATAAATAAAAACAGATGAGCTGTTGCCGGCGTTGGTTCCTCAGTTTCAGTCTCAGTCCTCAGTCTCGGTCGACGTCAACCACAAGGTTGGCCAAAAAGGAAACAGCCAAAATAAACAGCAGCAAGGAGTCGAAAAAGCAGCCAAGACATTGGCCCACAAAGGAGACACGGAGCGAGAAGGGGTGGCAGTGGCAGCCGCAGTTTCGGGGCGATGTCCTGCCTCCAGGGTTCGATTAAGGATTACCCTGCAGGATAATCGGGCAGCCTTGAAGATCTCTGACCTAAGGTCCTAACCTGTTTATAAAAGTGAGTTTATAAACTTAATTTTATTTTTAAAATTTAATTTTTTAGTAAAAGTTTTCCTGAAAAACTGTTCCTAACTTTCTGCTTTCAAATGGTTATTTTTAATTGATGTAATCCTTTCGAATTAAGTATTTATTTTATAACAAGTTGTATTAAATTTCAATAAAGCTTATATTTAAATTAGAATAATAATACTTAGCCCTATAAGCCCACTGAGTACCTTTAGCCAATTCAGTCTGGAAACACATAAAATTACCAAAAATAAAACAGCCGAAAAAAAGGAAAGAAATTCCGGAAAAAAAGTGGAACAACAAGTTGGAAAAGGAGGTAATGCCACTCCAGCAATTAATCAGGCAAATTGCAGGCGGAATATAATAAGAAATGAGCCGGCAGGCCAGGACGAGTCAGGACGAAAGGCGAAGGCTTTAAAAAGTCAAGCCACAAAACAAAGTGCCTGGATAAGTAAAGAAAAGCGAATTTAATATGACTTTCGGCTATGGTATATTCATAATATTCATTCCCATTGATAACGACTGAATATTTCAATAATATTGATCAGCAAACAGGCAGCTTGGCTATATGTTTTGGCCAAATAAATAAAAAGTTATTGGCCCAATGGCCGTTTCATCAAAAAGCAAACACAAATTCGCATTCGATGCGATAATGGAAAGCGCATGAACCGTGTTTGTTGGCTTTTGTCTATTTTTTAGCATACAGAAGGATCTCTTTTTTCGCTAAACTAATAAAAGGTAAGTACAGTAGAGACTGCGTACATAAGAAGGTCAAAAGTTATACCTTTTTTTAATAGATTTAAGGGTTTCTAACTAAATTTCTTTGAATATTTTTTCTTATATATTTGTTAACCTTTCAAAATTGCAAGTTCCTTCCAATATCTATATATATCCCTGTCCTTGTATATCACTCTGCCCACCACACCCCCTAGCTGTAGTCCTGTCACCACTTTTCCCTTCAATTTTCATCTCCATCTCACTCAACGCTTTGGATTTATGATTCGAAATGCCAAAATCTCTCTACCAACTGCCACGCCCCCCACACACCGCTCACAGCCCACTCGGCAGGACATATTTGTCAGTTACAAAATGGCTGTTGGATGGCAAAGTCTAACGCTTTTTACGGCTGTCAGTTTCTGTTCTGTTGTTACTTTTATATTTTCGTTTTTTCGCAACAAATTTTCTGACAAAGTCAGCAGAACAGAACAGCGCCCACCACACTGAGAGAAAAAATGGCCTGAAGGTTTGAAAGTTTCAAGTTGAACGCCTTTTGCGTTTCCTTTCATCATCGACTCCTTCCGTCCGCCATTGAGCCTCTCCATTTCCATTTCCCATTTTCCCGCCATCTCGCCATTTACATTTTCCCAACAAATGGCTGAAAACTCGACTCGCCACTCCGGCAACTGGAATTGTTGTTAAATACTTACGGCCGTAATTGCAAGCGAGTGAGTGAGTGGTGGGAGAAACGGGTTAAAGCCAATGAATACCCATTATATTTTGATTCAATTAATTGAATAAGTTTGGGTATTAAGGAATGAACAAATATAGGATTTTTAATAAAGAAGATTAAGCAGAGAAAGTTTTGTAAAAGGGGTCTATAAAGTTAATATTAAACCATTAAGTCAGAAGTCAGAAGTAGAGTTTTTAAAGAAAAGGATTTATCCAAATGGTTCTTAAATGTAAACCTAATAGCCTTAGAAAGAAATATTATATGAAGTATTTTAAACAAATAGTTTGAATTAGTTAGAAATCCTATAAGTGTTATGACCTTCTTTAGTTAATTACTACTTAGGAAACAGAGCTTCTAAACAATTATTATCATGGGACATATACATCACCCCTACATTCACCCCTATTTTAACCCTAATTATATCCCATTATTATTTCAGTAGTATGTATAGTATTTCTATATGAAAAATACTTTATAGACTAGTTCACCTTCACTCCCGATTTCATCACTTTATCCCGTGTGTTGTTTCTCTCATATTTACTTTCGAATATTTGTGTCCTTTTTGCAAATATCCTTTGAGCCTTGGACCGAAAGCAGCCCCCAAGCCGTCTCCCACCAAAGAGTCCTGGCTCCAGGGTGTGTGAAAAAGACGAAATTGAATAGCGAACATTAATCAAGTTTTACTTGAAATTGCTGTTCGGCCTGCCGACTGCTGGCTGCAATTTTCTCGTCTGCTCGTGGTCGGAGTCCGGTGCTCTTCGATCCGTAAAGGAAACAGAACGATGCCTGAAGAGACCGAGACCGAGCCCTACCCCGAGCCAGAGCCACGCCTCCCAGTCTTCCGGATGCCAGGTGGAGAGCCAGTCTGGACAAATGTTTGTGGCAAGGCCATTAAGAGCTGCAAACTCCGCAAACTGCAGTCCCCGGATGTGCGGAATCGTCGGACGACGGAGAACACCGGACGAAGGCCCATAGCTGCCGGACAACTGTTTAATTATAGCAAAATATTTGCAATGGCAAATCAATTAAGTCGCAGGTTGCCGACTGGAGCCCTTGAATGGAAATGCTGCAGAAATATGAGACAGCGCCCAAGGAGCCAAAGGACGTGCAATCGATTCCCATTCGAAATACTCGTAAATTGCTATAACTGCAGAAATATCAGATACTGCAATTGTCCTCCTCATGCCAAGGCTCTTTGTGAGTTCGGAAACGCAATCTGACTAATTGTAGAGATATTTTTTTTATTTTTATTTCAATCGATTTCAACCAAATTTGTTGATACTTTTTGCAGCCAAATAAGCGGAATTTCAGTCTTTAAATGATTTGGGTACAATCGAGGTATAAAAAAAGCTAAAGCCAAGTATGGAAATTAAAAGAAACTTCCTTTTTAAACATTAAAAAATGCATTGGTGAATATAGGCGCCGAGTAATCAGTTCTCCGAATAGTCCCATTTTCAAATTTTACTAAAAATGAATTATTAAAATAATAAGCTTCCTAGTAGTAGTATTAAAACTTACTAAAGGTTTCATAGAAACTATATCAATAGTATAGAATAGAACCTCCTTGAAAATGCTACCAATAACTGATCTTAGGAACTGCGGAACCTATAGATCCGGAACTGGATCCCGGTTGTTGGCGGAACTCATGGAGGCTATGGCACTGGCGACTATCTGCCAGATTAGTGGTAGAGTTATTGGAGCAGCCATGATTGAGGCCATGGTGGATGCTGTGGTGGACACCCAAACGGTCGGCACGCAACTTTACTCCGGCCTTTCGAAGCGCCGACATAACTCCAGCCAGCCGCAAGCTAATGTCCGTGTTGTCCTTATCGCCACAAGAGGCTTCCTTTCCTATCTTCCAAAGGGGCTTCAAGACTGCCTGCCTGCTTGAAGGAGGGTCAGTCCTTCGAGCGTCTCCCACTCCCAGGTCCAGGCTTGGCATCACGATCGGTACTGGGCGATGTATGATGGTCTGCATTGGCATGCCTCCAGCAATCGATGGTGTGTACGAACAGGGCTGGGGATGGGATGAGGTTACTACTACGTCCTACGCGGTTACCATAGAGCTCCTCGCACTCACCAATCCTGACTGTCCCTTCCAGAAGGAGAATGTGTTCAGACCTCGGCCTCGATTGTTCATTTTGATTTCGAAAATCGGGTTGAAAATATGAATAAGAATTTCTAAAGCAAAATAATATCCTAAAACTTATTTTTCATACTATTTTTATTTTGGTCTTAATTTATATTCCTAACTAAACTATTACGGAGAATTTACGTTGGATTTTGATGTTTCTAAAATGAAAATCTGGTTGGAAATGAGAAAATCCTGGCCCTGTTTAAAAGTCTACTGGAACTGGGCCTACTTGTTTAAGGCTTTAATCGAACTACAGCCTATCTGATGGCAAGAAAGTGTAATTATTTTTAATAAAAAATGATTTAAAAAGCCAGTAACTCCCTCTCCCCGGAGCCACTTTATCACTTTGCAGTAAATAAGATTCTGGTAATTGATTTGTTAAGCCACTGGGAAAATGAAACGATTAAATCATCGGATTGCTGAGCTAATTTTCCTTTCGGCCATAAAGGGATTCGAATGGAAAAGCGCTGCGAGTGGAATGTGTGGCGTAATTTTTATGACGCCTGTTGTTTTTGGATCTCCACCCTCTCCCCCCCCCTACAATTTCCAACAAACAAACAAACAAGGCTGCAAAATACAAAGCCCTGCGATTATGGACCAGTATCGGACCATTAAGCAAAGTGGTCCAGTAAAAACAGGGGACCTGAGATCCCTACTAAGTGGCCCAGTTCTCTGCCACATTCACGTCTTTCATTCACGAGACTGCTCCGGTGTTTGGTTCTACGGTTTTCAGGGCCCTTTCCGGATTTTTCAGTTCCCCTTCTATGAATCTCCCCCCGCCAGGGGTCGCACCCCACCCTGGGGAACAATCCGCTGGCTGGTCAAACTTTTCCAGTTTCTAGTGTCAGCTCCGGTCCAGGCCGCAGGCCACAAACAAACACATGCCTAATGAAGCGCACTCGCACTGCCACGCCCCCACAGCCCAGTGTCTAACTCCCAGAGCCAGCACCACTCTCTGGCCACGGGGACCCCCCTTTTTTTTGCACAGTGGATGGGGGAAACCAGAAAAGTCAAGAGGGCTTTGCTTGCATTCATGGGGGTTTTTCTAAAAAAATATAATAAAATTTACCAAAAAAACCCTAAACTTAAGCTTTGAATAAAATTTTGTTTTATTTATTAAAGCTTGTTTTTAAAAAATCTTTAAATATCTTAACAAAAACCTTAGATTAAACTATTTAATATTTAAATCTAAAAACCCATAAAAACCATAAACCCACAGGGAAGTCATGTGTAAATTCATAGAGAATTCGTAATCTACGATTGTTTCTGCCCATTGACTCGTTTTACACTTCCGCTTTAAGTGGATCGGCTCTACACTGGCCAGCACAGACCGACAAATGAGCCACTTTTTTCACTCAACTAGCCAGTTGGCATTATTGGCCAATTTGAATTCCATTCGGCGTGGCCATAATTTGACGCCTTTTTTAGTTACACATCCATAAGGCATGAGAGGCCTGGTCCTGATCCCGGTCCCTGTCAGGCCCCTCATAACAATATCAGTTGCTGTAATTTGCGGACCACTGTGGACCACTTCCTTGCCCTCGCCCCATATCCTGCCAGTCCTCGCCCTATATCCTGGCCCTGTCATCATGGCCAGGCATTGTTGTTGTTTTAGCTGCAGTTGCTTGGTAAGTTGGCAATACCCACTAATTTATGCGTATTCAAGTTTAAATTGCAAATGCGTGCTACGTGCGGGCCAGCACTCCTGTGAGTTGTCCTTTGGGCCTAATGGGGGGTATACTATATGGTGTGGTTCGGTGGGTCCTACTAGGCCCACAAACGCTGACAATTTGGCCAATTTATAGCTGGGATTTTTGTCAAATTTTTTGGATAAAATATCTTAATTTTAGAGACAACATGACTGATGATATTCTTGGTTCTTTTTTGAATTCTTTCAAGATTTTTATTATTTAAGAAGATAATAGTGATGTGTTTTTAAAGTTTGATATGATGTAAGATGCTTTATTAAGATTTTACAAATAAAAATAGATTATAGATAGATCTTTTAGGGTTCTTTAAGATAGAAACCTAATATTACTTGGTGTTTATACCTTTTTAATATCTTTAACTTTTATAGACTTCTATCATTCGTAATAAAGCCCCTTATTTCTTAAAAATTTTATTTATTTTTTGGCCTTTTTTTTAGACCTTTTTCATAAAATCTTTTCAGACACCTCTCTCGAGGGGTGGTGGCAACTTGAAAGCTGAATGGGGGGTGGCTGCCTCAAAACGTTGACGTTGACCAAATTGGGCATTTTGTTCGATGGCTGAAGTGGCAGGGGAGAGCAGGGGGGTAAGGGAAAGTGGGCGGTTGACTGTTGATGGGCGGGGCAGCTGATGATGTGGTAGATTCTGCAATCACGCACTCATACACACACACACACACCCATACCATCCATATACGAAATGCATTCCATGTTTATTGTATTGCATTTTGCTGTTCGTCCTGTTCGTCCTGGCCATACATATGTGTGTAAATTGCACATGTATATGTAAATGTACAGTACTTCAGTTGGGAACTAGTTAACCACGCCCACCGCCCCGCCCCCTCTTGCCTAGCATTCACTTCACTTTCTTCTGCGGCGCTGCAGGACATGTTTCTGGCCATCTCACAGTTTTTAGGCCATTGTTCTGGCGTATTACCGCTCTTTGTTTTCAGCAAAGTGTTTTTTTTTCTTTAAACCAGACACTAGTGGGTTGTTTGGTAGCCAGTACACCCAGAGAAACAAGCCTAATTGTTTGAATAAATTTATAATTAATATCTAAGCTCTACAAGGGCTTAGTAGCTATTTTTAATATCCCACCGAGTTCTGCAATGATTAAGTCCTGTTGCTAGCTATAGCCAGAGGTTTGGGTCTATATAGTCCTGGCCAAGTTAAGCACTTGAACTGACCCATTGGTCAGTGTTTCCATGCAAAACCACTTAATCCGACACTTGAAATCCTGGCCAGAATTTCATTTCCCAGCCAAGGTTATCGGTTTCAAGTTTATTGGGCTACTCTCGTTTCCGAATTTAAAACGGAAAAGGATTACCCTTTTCCCAATAATCCTTTTAATAATCCTCTAAAACCCTATCACCTCCACACTTAAACCCCAACAAATTTTCACCCCTTTTTTTTATTATTTGTAGCTCAAAAATTGTTTTCTTTTCTATCCATAATAAATAACAAAAACTGTCAAACTGCTGCCGTGGCTGTAAAATGTTAAACACGAAATCCAAAACAAGGCCCGGCCCACAGAAACACAACAACAAAAACAAGGATATGACATATGAGTGTCGCTGTCAAACGTCGTCAGGACTGGAAGATTTATGTCCTCTAGCTCAGCGGGTAAACCATCCAAGTGAGCACGTGTCCTGGGCCCAATCATAAAATAAATAAAACTCCAAAAAATAAAAAAATAAAAATGTGAAGGAAGGGGTAGACCTATACATTCAATACCCTTCCTATTAAAAATATTATTCTCTAAGTATATTCTGTAAAGACTTTAGTCCTTTTATACTCTCTCTTAATAATAAATAGAAAGTTTACTGAAACCACAATACCCTTAGAAAGTGTATAACAAAAAAAAAATACAAGTAATTGGATCGATTCCGTTTGGCAGATTCGCCGGAAAATCGATCAATGTTTTCATTAGCGATTTTCCGGCGTAAACTCGCAAAAGTGTTAAGATTGAAAACAACTCCAATATGGAGTGGGGCGGAGAAGGATATGTGTGAGCTTTCGCCTTATTGTGCCACTTTTATTTCCTTCTGGCAGGACCTGCTCCTTTTTATTGTTCTTTCCATTTGCCAAGTGGCAAGGCGACACATGGCGCTTTGTGATTGATGCGATATCCTTTGACAGGCTTACACCCAAATCCATTCCGTTCTATGGCCTCGTCCTGCGGAGAAGCCTCCCTCTTTTCCTGCCTGCCCATCTGCCCATCTGTCCTGGTTCGGGAGGCTTCATCAATGCGACAATGTCCTGACAGTCGCAAGTGCAAGACAAACAAGCTGCACTTCTCGCACAACTGCGTCACATTTCCCTCAGACCCTCAGTCCCTACCACTGCCCCGCCCCCATTTCCCTTCACATCTCAGATGCTTTTCCCAGCCCTGATTTTCCTCCACGCACACAATTTTCACCGCACACGCATGAGATACATATGCAAATGAAGGCCACAGTGAGCCAAAGTGTGTTTGAAAATGAAAAGAAAAATATTTTTTAAAATAATTATAAAATAAACTATAGTTTTGATATTATTTTAAGATTATTTGAGGACTATATAGATTTTATTTTAATAAATAGACAGCTTAAAGTTCTATTTATTCAACAAGCTTGACCAAAACCAGTTGACCAAGAAAGAAGAATCCAACATTTTTAAAACAATATTTAAATAAATATAAAAGATTCACTAACTTTTCTTCAAGATTTGTGTCTAAGAATAACAATTCCAGTTTCTATCTGCAAGAACCTTCTCACAACTCCCTGAAACCCTTCCATATTGACCCTCCAACCACTGTGCATTTACCAGAAATCGAGCAAACACGGGCCCTGTCAATATGCCAAGAACCGAGTGCAGCTGGAAAAATAAAAAAAGGATTTGCGGCAGACAAGTTGCCAGCCCCTTAGTCCTTGCAGCAGCCTTGCCGCCCACCTTATGGCCACAAAAATAATTATCGGCCAATATTCTGAGGAAGGCCCGAAACCTATTGAGCGGCAGAATTCGAAGCCACCAAAATCAGAAAACCGTGTGTATGCTTCGGAACTTTATTTGTGACTGACAAATGTAGCGAAAAAAAATGAAAAAGTTGTTATACATAATTTTCTTATTCTCTATTTCTTAGGACCATACAAGCGTGCATTGCATCATCCTAATATTGTACCGGGTACTTTATTTTCTACACCCTTCCTCAATGCAAGCTTGTTTACAAAAATGATTATCAAAACAAATTAAACATTTTTGTAAACTCTTCGTGTTTTGTTTTAGGAAGATTTTTTGTCAAAATATCTGCAATCATTTCAGTTGTACATTTGTATTTCAACAAAACTTGCCCTTTCTTTACAACTTCTCTAACAAAATGATAACGTATATCAATGTGCTTAGTTCTGGAATGATGAACAGGATTCTTGGTTAACGCCTGCGCACTCAGATTATCCCCATACACGACGATCGGGGTGTCGTTGTCTCCGCAACCGATCTCCATAATCAGCC